GTAATACTAACTACTATTACTATATATATATAGTATATATATATATATATATATATATATATATATATATATATATATATATATATCCATATTATATATGTGTGTATGTTTGTATTTGTATATTTATATATGCACTTACATACGCCGATATGGTGGATTGATTGATTTTTATGCTTGTATTAAACCGCATGTATATTGATATGTTTACAATTTTGTTTGCATAGCGGATGACATCTATTTGTATATGTATACAACATGTATGCATATATTTTTATATTGAGTATGTGATTATCGTGGTTTTGTGCGCCGTGTGTGTATGCTTTGAACACATTTACCTCTTTCATTACTCTCCGGCTGATGATCCCTTTACAATATATATTTTCCCAATTCATGCACTTGTCGGTATCACTTACGTTGAAGTAGTCGCCTGTGCCGATCAAGCATGTTTGCAGCATGTTATTTGAATTTGCCTGAAACATAGCTAAGATACGCTAATAGTGGGTAGCTATCCGAGCAGAAATGAAGTTTACTGTTGTCTGGCCATCGTCATATTGCTTTTCATTCGCCTTCAATGCCCGTACTTGCTTTGAGCCTATTATTTGGTGTTCTTTAATCGCATCCAAAGGGCTTGGGCGAGTTTGACTCGACTAGTTATAAATCTCATCTTAAATTCGGTGCCAATAGAAACCCTAACCTTAAAGTTCTGTTATATGCTGACATATACATCATTTCCAATTGAAATCGTATACAGATACTATTGAAAGCCCTCAAAAGTCTGTGCATTACGAAGGAGGATAAGGAATTGGGTTATAAGGTAATTTTTCAATACGTGATATTTGTATTGCTGTTATATAATCTGTGTATTCGTGACTCCCATGCTCACTTTTTAGTATGTTGTTCAGCTCGCATCACATCGATATATATATATGTATGTATGTATGTATGTATGTGTGTATTAATATATGTATGTATGTATGTATGTATGTATGTATGTATGGATGTGTGTATTAATATGTGTATGTATGTATGTGTATATTTATTATATATATATATATATATATATGTGTGTGTGTATGTATATATATATTGTGTGTGTGAGTGTGTGTGGGTTTGTGAGTGTGTGTATGTATATGTATATACATATCCTTTCACATCACACGCCTACGCGTGTCATATTTAACTCGTATTCTCCTCCCGTTTCCTGGTTCTGTTCTATGTATATTCAACGTGTCATGCAGACGTATGCCTATTATCATGTGAATACCACACTGCCAAAACAAGTTATGACCAATCGATTGGATTTCCGTTCCCGCGTTTGTTTCTCGAACGTATGCGTTTTCCTCTGAATAACACATTGCCATAACCATTGAGTACTAATCGATACAAACTTCATTTCCATATTGTACTTCAGGCGTATGTGTTTACCTGTGAATATCGCACCGCCAGCAACAATTGTCATCTACTGATTGAACTTTCTTTCTTGTATTTGATATCAACAGCCCTTCAAGTTCTCATGGATCCCCCCACGTGAAGCGTACCGTGGTGGTTTGCAAGGTTTGTTCCGCTCTGATTTCCCTGCGTTGCGCTATCAATGCAATCGTCTCATAACTGGAGACTGTATGTTTTTTTATATTGCTACCACATCTCAACTTCTGCATACAGCACGTGCATTTGAGTACTAGTTTTCGGGTTTAATCATACTCCCCTGGCCAAAAGTGGTTGCATTGCTGTAGATGGCACTGCCTGTGAGAATTCCGCTCGTGAACCGTCCTCTTCCAGAAATTGATTGATGAATGAGTATTTCGTTGTACTTTTATTCAATAGTGTGCTCGTAGTCATCGAGCTATACTCCTGTTACGGTTGGCTTGCATTGTAGACCGATGTGTTGTTGGAGGGCTTCGTCTTCCTGCGATAATCGGATTGGGTTGCGCTTTTAATATATAGAGGTCCATCGCTAGTGTATTTCGCGCTCGTCTACGCGTGCGACGTAGTGGGTGTATGTTCCAGATTTGTGGGTGTCAAAACGCTTGTAAAAATTGGAGAAGAAAGGAATTCAACGAAAATATACGGTACAATAACTACCGATTTTCTCAACCCAGGCAAAATGGAAAATACACACATGTCTGTGCGCAAGATTCTGAACACAATCGAGGCGTATGGCTGGGTATTGGTATCGACCCATACTTTCACGGATACGGGATCAGAATACGTTTTGCAGAATAATACGCAAATGGCTTCGGGCTGTGTTCTAGGTGGCGAGCTTCAGGGCATCCGCAAGTGGTATGCAATTCAATACGTATTTACTACTTGTTACGCTACTACGTAGAGTTTTGTGTCGATGACGAGTAATATATTATTGCGGTACTTTCATTCCATTTAGCTTTTCCCGATATAGTTGCCACACAGACATGTCGAATCACACTTGTTGTGTATGCTTTTCCGACACAGTAGTGTGTTGTATACCTTCTATGAATGTTCCCATTGGTATGCTTAATTTGCATATGCAATTCGCCTGTTACTCTCCTCTCCTTTCTCTCATCCATTTCCTCCTAAGCCTCAGCTCGAGCTACGTTACCCAGGATTATTTTTTCTACATATGACGAGTATATACACTGTTCCTACCTACACTCATACTATCATCGACACTTTGTAACCTGTGAAAAAAACTCCGCTCTTTTTCTCACCATCCCCTCCATCCATCAATTCCTCTCACCCCTCAGCCCGAACTACGCTAGCCAGTATACATATGCTACGGCAAGTATATATATCATTACAATGTGCTAGCCAGTATACATATGCTATGGCAAGTATATATATATATATCATTACCATGTGTGCACACAGTCATTGACACACTAACCCCTGCAAACGACCCTATCTACGCACTTCAATTGTTTTCTCACTATCCTCTCCACCCATCCCTCCCTCCGTCTTCCTCCCCTCAGCTCGAGCTTTGATGAGCTGGGTGCTGACAATGTGAAGCTTGGTGGCAACAACCCATCAGCCCCCTCGCCTTCCACACACTCTGAATCGCACGAACGAATCATGACTCACTGCCACAGCATCTCGTCTGCCGATAGTGCCACACACACAGAGCCGCTACATTCGTAACAGGCCTGCCGGAGAATAGCACGCACGTATGTGCCTATCTGAGATTGATTCCGAGGTGTGGATGTGTGCAGGGAATTCTTGGAGAGGGGATATTATAAGCCGTGAGAACACACGTTTTAAACATCAGTGCAGTTGCTGCACATAGGATGTAAATGGGGGGTTTCGATTACTTGTAGGCGATATGATATATAAGGTCGAAGAGACACGCTCACGTTGCCCTGGGGTTGCAAGCATAAGCTACTTGCATGGGTAATCCATTTGCGAAGCGGAACATATCACATCCTGCACAGTGCCAGATGATCGTCATGCACGCATACGTAGCACTCCACGTATGCGTGTACATGAGTACAACCCAACACGCCACACGCAGGTGCGCAGTTCTTCACGAGATTCCTCGATGCCTTACCAGACGAGTGACAATGATATTCCCCCAAGTCGCATTCGATATATGGACACCGAAGTTTTGAGCAAGAGGGTATTGCACTGTGGAGACACTTCATGGACCAAATAGTGCACACAATACGGACAGATCTGCAGTCCTGTACTGTAAGTGGGGGCTATCAGCTGGCACCGTCTTCGCCTATCCCTCCATAGTTCAGGGGTACTTCAATGCGAACATAGAGCGTGTGCTGCACAAATGATACATTCGTCAAGGTTACAACCCCGTTCCGTCCGGCAGAGCAGTTGTATCTGGGTAAAAATGGGCCGAAGAATGCATGCGAGGAGGAAGTGCACACAACTATGATAATCTAATTGGCTGCGATCCAGCAGGAAAGTATTGATAAAGCAATACAGCATGCATATTCATCTATGCATCGGTGCTTGTGTCTACTTGGTATAGTCCATGCTCTGGCGATGGAACCGATTTTATATGCGCATATCTATGTTCTAGGCGGCATCAGGTACTCGAATTGCCATAGTCTGGCAAATGTATGCTTTTACATATATAAAATGAAAAGTTCATGAAATAGCGAATAATTGAAAATACCAACGTACAATGATCACACTTATGAGATCATGGACGCCGAATTGATTACTTCTGTTAGCCTTGGTCCAGAATCGCAACAGGTACACTACTATATAACAGTATCTGCTGTGCCCCTATATGCTCCAAATGGTTAGTTTATATCGAATCCATATCTGTCTGTTGAGCGCTTATCTTACATTGATTAATTGCTGATATCGCAGAGTGTCAGAAATCGTACATACCTTACATTTGTGTGATTGATGACAGGTAAATAAGTACCTTTGCGACTGCATCTGTGTCACATGTATGAACATTTTAAATATTTTCAATTTTACATGCACATTCACAATATCAAACTTCCGTTCATAGTAAGAGACCTGAAAACAGTTAAAACACAGAGGTCACTCTCTCTCTCTAGAGATATTTACATACTGTAAAGAACAATTTATATAAAAAACAAGGCTATGATAAAATAAAAGTTTTAAAAAATTATTATGTTTTCTTTTTAAATTCAGAAGGCTATGAAATTTATCGTGAAAATTATACTTTTATTTTTATTTTAAAATGATTTAGCCTGCTTGATTGGTTATAAATGCTTTGGGTTTTAGAGAGTAAAAAACACTCCGAAATTGAGTGATTTCATATGCATAAATATATATAATTTGTATTTTATTTTATTTTAATTTATATATATACCCTTTTTCAAGCTTTTTTATGATTTAAGTAATATTACAATCCAATCAAAATAGTTTCATGCTCTAAAGTGCTCTATTTTGCTTTGGCAATTGATGACCTCATGGGTATCAGGTGTCGCAAGTTCGTTTACGTCACTGTAGAATACTATGTCGAATGTCGTCACAGTTAATTCTGAATTTATATGGATTAGTTTTCTCTACACAACCTTCAAAATAAATTGAACATAGAGGAGAGTACTAGAGCAATTTGCCGTCTTTTTTTACCCATGTTTTTACCCATGACAGTAGAACTCGGAGAAACGCATGCTCGGTTATTTAACGCTGCTCACAGTGGAGGTCGGTTCATCAACCCTCTTAATGTAAATATTGTATTTATAAAAGAGACGGCGAAGGCATGCGCCAAGGTTTTCGAATAATTAACTCCAAAGAACTGCATTTGTTCATGTAATTAACTAATATTTTGTAGCGGGTGTCACCATTACTTATAACATTCAATGTATTGATAATCATACCATAACTTTCGTTTCTAGGATTTGACTTTATGTTCGTAGGATCCTTCTTATTTTCCACAGCAATACACTTTGATAAATTACCACTATAGTATGTTTCACATGCTGGTTCTCATGGGCGAGCGTTCTTCTCCTCTCGAGGAGCCTGCTATCGGGTCTAGTATTCGAGTTAATAGCGAGCAACATTCATACAGAGCTGAGCACAGTATAGAGCAGTGTTCTGAAACACGTGGCCTGTCGCTATTCTCTCGACAGGTATCAGGTGTTTCAGTAGATGATTACAACTTTAGAGAACTAGATTTTCAAGCCAGTCTTTCCCCTGAGTACGGCGTGTCAGGTACTGAACATGTACCAAATAGGACAGTACACGTATCTAACACCAGTCAAAGTCTGAAAAGCTATTTTGATCAACAATTGCACGATCGTATTGTGGCCGAACTCCATACATTAGCTAACACAGAGCCTGTTGAGGGGCCAGCGGACCAACAAATCTCCAGTCCGCACACTGTCCCAAACTTTATAAAAGTTTTCAAAGTAAACGACAAAGTCTTTCACACTTCACCTGCCCGAGAAAATTACACTTCTAATCTCGTCAAATTTAATAAAGTCCCCCAAAGTAAGATATCCATATCATGTGTGCTGGGAAAGCAATCGCCCCCGTCGGACAGCTCATCCAGGCATTATTCGAAAAGGCTCACATCTCGGAAAAGTTCGTCAGAAGACAATGCTTCCGCCTCTACAAATGTCCCGGCAAATCGAAGGAGGCGAAATGAACTGCCACGTTTGTATTTATGCCCTGAAGACTGTTGTGGGCGGCGCTACCAATGGTAGAGTTCACTGCAGACCCACATAGCTAAAAAAAAACACGAACTGGTAAAAAAGAAGTCAGACTATCCGCAGTTTTCTCAATATCAAACCTGAGGACTAAAAATATTGCTAAGCTGGACGCCAGAGGGTGATGGATGGTTGTGACGGTCGCGAAAACAATAGTCTCTTAGAGGTATACAAGCCATCTTGTAACAAACATAAACCAATTCACAAACAGCTATCTTTTGATAGCAATTCTTTGGTATATATTCTTAGAAAAGGGCGCTACATTAGAATATTGCACCGGGTAGCCGCATCCGCCTCAAAATGTATGTGGTCTGCTTCAAGACTCTCTGATGATTTCACAGATGTCAGGATGTAAATAGATAGATTTGTTTTATTCAGTGAAGTATGTGGAGGGATCGAGTTAAGGCTGTGGCCGCTTCCGTATTTATATTCAGTAGTTACTGCACGTCTGCCAAAGGTGTGCTGTGGTAGATTTGCTGTCGACACTTTACCGCAGTAAAATAGTTTAACTGAGCTCTTATCGAATACGTTCTCTTTTTGCAGCATATTTTTTATTATATTACTTTTGTCACTGCAACAGTGCAAAATTCAACGATTGTTCATATTCTAACCTTTGGGCTCTGGACTCTGGACTCTGGACTCTAGAGAGAGAGAACGAGAGAAAGTGAAAAATCATACTTTTTCCAGGGGGATCGGTTTTCCCCGCAGTGTTATTTTAAGTGCTGTGGTGGCCTGGTGGACCGAAGTTTGAAAATTTGAAACCGGATTTCACAGTTAAATATTTATTCTTTTCAGAGAAAGCCTTGTCCGACATCCTGACGTCCTCGAGAAGTCAGGAGTGTTCACTGTTTCATTTTATAGAAGGCTATGGAATTGGTCATGACAAAAATCGGAAATCTGGATTCGGTTCACTTCGCCGAAAATAGCTGCATGATCTGCTCCCGATAATAATAAAAATATGTCTTTTATTTTGCACAATAAATCACAAACATGTGTCATAGATACAATAACACACGGTACGTCAATACGGATCATGCTTCTATAGTGAGGAAACGCTGCAGAATGATCAAGGCACTGACAACGATAAAGTATCCAACTCTATCATCCAGTACAAGGACTTCCAATTATAAGAAGTACTTCTCTACACTTCGTGATAAGACGCGTGTCCGCACAGAGCCAGTTGTGAACAAGTGTATACATACTATTTATAATTTAAGAACAAGCACAGTAAATGGTAGTACAGGTATATGTAGAATAAATCGATCGAGAAACAGGATGTTTTCCAGCAGTCAGAGTGCTTCTGAGCATCATCAGTCAGATTTTCAAATTCTCAGCGGAATAATAGGAGGACTCCGACAGCATAAACCGCACGTCAAATCGTGCAAGAAAGCGGCTGTTGCTTTGATACTTCGGATGGAAGGTTTGTAACTGATTTTGCGCACTTCTACTGGCTCTGTGTCGATGTAGTTGACAGCTGAAAGCTAACGAATGTATATGGTACTGCACACGTATACAAACTTGTAGTTGTTGAAAAATATCTGGCTCGCAAGTGCGTCGCTGGCACATTTAGACACACTCTATAGGGCACCATGCGGACCCTGAAGTACCAATACTACTGGGGTCATGTGTAAATATATTTATCGTACATCTGTATAGTCGTGTAGTCAATCCTTCTTCCTTTTGCAACACTCTTGAGTATTCCCAAGCACACGTGCAAAGCGCTGCATACCACTTCATCCATTCCTACAACCAACACAACACAATCGTATTTCTCACTATAGGAGACGATCTGGACGGGCTCTCCAAAACACACCAGTTCAGCAATAGCTCTGACGCTGAGATTGTGGAGCAGTTTTTGGGTACCTCATTGGCACAACACGGCCGTCTCGAGCTACTCTACATGAAACGAACAGGTGATTGTAGTCTTCATTCGAAGGTGCACACATTTAATCGATTCATACTTTATATATGGATATATATTTATATATTTATATATATATATTTATATATATATTTGGATATTTGGATATATATATATATATATATATATATA